TCTTTTCTCCATTGATAAGAATGTTGTTGATTGGTCCAGTGGTGAGGATTTTTGTTTTCTTGACATTGAGATGTAATCCACATCGAAGGCTGTGCTCTTTGATCTTCATCAGTAAATTACCTTTGACATTAGTAATGACATCTTCTCCCAGGGCAGGAGTCATCCGCTCCAGCGGCTCTCCACTCAGTGAGGCCTTGGGCAGCTCCCCAACCTCTCTGAGCCTCTGTTTCCTTTTTAGTTAAATGGGTCAGTAAACCAAAAGTAGGAGGATAATTGTGACGATTGGATTTTTTAAAATGTGCTGTGCCCTAGACGCACTCATTCAGGGCTCGTGCTCACAACCCCAGCAACATGAGCCTAGCTATTATTTACTTAATTTTTAAATAAATTTGCTTTTACTTTTACCTAAATTTATTTTGAAAGGAAATTGGGTAGGCCTTCTTTAGCCACAGAGCCCCTGGGGTGGTTCAAACTGTTAACACACTCAGCCACTCACTAAAAGGTGGGCGGTTCAAGTCTACTCAGAGGCGCATCAGAAGAAAGGCCTGGAACTCTAGTTCCAAAAACAAAACCATCCGCCATTTTTTCAGGCCCCGTGAATACAACTCTGCTCTAACCCACATCCCGACTCCACAACAGCTGCTTTCTGTTTTGTTTTGTTTGTCACTTTAGCCATAAAAGCCATGTCACTTGCTATGAGCTGGAAAAGAAATACAGGGGACAATAAATTATGGTCGGGTGCCGGTGCCCGCTAAAGGCTTAAACTTGAGTCCCTTCCCTTCTTGAAAGAGGGAGGCTCAAAAATTCCAGAAAGATGAGAAAGAGCCAATTTCAACCTCACAGGCGCACCCCACACAGAGGAAGGCTGGAGTCGGGGCCCCTGGCACCCAGGCGCCACATTCCCCCAGCGGGATCCCATGGCCTCTCTGGCTGATCACTGTGTGGGTTTGTTTGCCCAACAGCACGCCAAGCTACAACTACGCACCCAACCCGGACAAGCACTGGATCATGCGCTACACAGGCCCTATGAAGCCCATCCACATGGAGTTCACCAACATGCTACAACGGAAGCGCCTGCAGACTCTCATGTCCGTAGACGACTCCATGGAAACGGTAGGCTGCCCCCGGCCACTCCCCACACACCCTCCTCCCACAGGCCGCCAGCGAACTCCCTTCTGGCCAGTCACCATTTTCCCATCATCCTCCACTGGGTAGGAATGGAGATCGAAGGTAGAATGGGGAAGCTCAAGGCCTTGCAAAAACAGCGCTGAGCAGTGCAGACCAAAACCTTTGCCTTCGGGAATCTGTCTTCTAGATTTGTGCTGCCCAATAAGATAGCCATAGATGGCTATTTCGTTTAAAAAAACAAAAAATTTGTTTATACAGTTCACTCATTTACGTGTGTAATTCAATGACTTAGTTATAATTCACAGTATGCAACCATCACCACAAGTTTAGACCGTTTTCATCACTCTGAAAAGAAACTCCATACACCTTGGTTGGCAGCCTGCTTCCCCCACCCACCTGCTTTCTGTCTCCATCAATGTGCCTCTTCTGAGCCTTTCATATTTCATACCAGTGGATCGTACAATGTGCGGTCCTTTGTTACAGCCTGCTCTCAGTTACCACTTGTCTCTCAGGCTCGTGCGTGACAGCATGTATCAGTACTAAATTCCTCTGGGCTGCGGAGTATCCCATTGTGTGGATAGGGTAGGGGTGGGGTGATGTGCCATAGAGTTGGTTCCGACTCATAGCGACCCTGTACAGGGTTTCCAAGGCTACACATCTTTATGGGAAGAGAAAGCCTCATCTTTCTCCTGAGGAGCAATTGTTAGATTCAGTCGGCTTGTGGTTAGCGGCTCAGCTCATAATCTATGGCTATTTAAATTAGTTATGAGTCCTGGTGTGGGATTGTAGGATAAGCATTTGCCATTTTGTTCTCTGTTGGATCCCATATAAGGAGTTCTGATGGTGCTGTAGGGTAAACACTGGACTGTTCACCACAGGGTCAGTGGCTCAAACCCACCAGCCGCTCCACAGAAACCCTTTAAAGGGTCGCTGTGAGTTGTAACTGACTTGAGGGCACACAACAACAACAACAACAACAACAACATTTAAGTTACTTAAAATAAAAGTAATTTTAGAGTTCAGTTCTTTGGTCTCTGCAGCCGTACATTTCAGATACTTGGAAGCCCTGAGACTACCTGGGGCCGCTTAAATACAGAATCTTGCCACTATCCCTCACAGAAAGTTATGTTGGACAGCAGTGTTCTAGATCACAAACTCCTGCCATAAGCCATCTCCATCCATCCATCCATGCATTCAGCAAACACATGGGTACCAAAAACCAAACCCGCAAACACCGATTCTGTTCCCATCATAGTGACCCTGTAGAGGGTTTCCCAGGCTGTAAGTCTGTACAGGAGCAGAAAGCATCATCTTTCTCCTGCAGAGCTTCTAGTGGGTTTGAATTGCTGACCTTGTGGTTAGCAGTCCAGTGCTTACCCTTTAGCTCCACGAGGACTCCTTACCTGGGATACAAGAGAGAACAAAATGGCAAAGATTGCTTCTGTAGTGGAGCTGACATTCCGTGATGGAGAGTCAGACGTAAATAAATAGACCTGGGGTGGCGTTGTGGGCTAATGAGCCGGACTGCAAAGCCATTTGAACTGCAAGGTCAGCGGTTCAAGCTCACCAGCTGCTCCTCAGAAACCCTCTACAGGGTTGCTATGGGTCAGAACCGACTCAATGGCACTTCACAACAACAACATATATATTGATGAGGACTTCTGGTGTGGCGCTGTGGATCAGCACTGGACTATGAATCACAGGGTCAGCCATTCAAACCCACCAACTGCTCCTTGGAAATCCTATATAGGATCGCTATGAGTCAGACCCAACTCGATGACACTTAACAACAACAACAACAACAACAACGTATTGATGGGCCCCTGGTGTGGTGCTATGGAATTATGCACTAGACCACAAGGCCGGTGGCTCAAATCCACCAACTGCTCCTTGGAAACCCTATACAGGGTTGCTATGAGTCAGAATTCTTATTAATGGAGAAAAGATTGAAGTTGTCAAGGACTTCATTCTTCTTGGATCAACTAATCAACACTTGCGGAAGCAGCAGTCAAGAGATCAGACGACGTATTGCATTGGGCAAATCTGCTGCACAGGAACTTTTTAAAGTATGGAAGAGCAGAAATGTCAGCTTGAGGACTAAGGTGCACCTGACCCAGGCCATGGTATTTTCAATAACCTCATATGGATGCGAAAGCTGGACAGTGAATAAGGAAGATCGTAGAAGAATTGATGCCTTTGAGTTGTGGTGTTGGAGGAGAATACTGAAAGTGCCATGGACTGCCAAAAGAACCAATAGATCTGTTTTGGAAGAAGTACAGCCAGAGTGCTCCTTGGAGGCCAGGATGGCTAAGCTTCGTCTCTCATACTTTGGACATATTGTCCGGAGGAAACAGTCGCTGGAGAAGGATGTCATGCTGGGTAGGGTGGAGGGTCAGAGAAAAAGAGGAAGACCCCCAACGAGATGGATCAGCCAGGTAGCATCATTGATGGCGTCAAGTGTGGCAGCGGTAGTGAGATAGGCCCAGGATCGGACATTGTTTTGTTCTGCTGTGCATGGGGTCGCTATGAGTCGGTTCCGACTCGATGGCACCTGACAACAACAACAACAATCTCTATATTGATAATGAGCCCTGGCAATACAAATGTGAAATGCTTGGCTTGTTGTTGTTAAGTGTTGTCAAGTTAGTTCTGACTCATAGCGACCGTGCATTGGGTTTCTGAGGAGCACCTGGTGGGTTTGAACTTCCAGCCTTGCAGCTCAAACCAACCTTGGGTCTGGTGCTTATCTTACAGTGCCACACTTACCAACCAGAAAATTGGTGTTTCAGTCTCACCCAGCAGCTTTGAGGAAGAAAGACCTGGCCATCTGAACCCATAAAGATTGTTTTCATTGTTGTTAAATGCCGTCGAGTTGGTTCCAATTCATGTCTACCCTGTATAGAGTTTCAGGGGCTTTAAATCTTTGTGGGAGCAGAAAGCCTCATCTTTCTCTTGTGGAGCAACTGGTGGCCTCGAACCGAGGACCTCGTGGCTCACAGTCCAGTGTTTATCTTACGGAGCTACAGCCTGGGAAACCCCATGGGACAGTTCAGCTGTCCCATGGGGTCACTATGAGTCGGACTTGACTTGATGGTCCCTACAGCAGCAGCAACGTAAGTTGATAGGAGAGTAGTTCTGTGAAGACAAGAAAAGGGCGGACAGTGACAGGAAGTGGGGGCACTGCTCCAAATGGACTGATCCCAGAGCCCTCACTGGGGTGACCTTTAAGCAAAGAGCTGAAGGAGGGGAGGAAGGAGTGGGGGATCTCGAGCGCCTCATCAGCCCCTGGTCACAGGCGGCAGGGTCCCAGTGCCCCCCTCATCTCCTCGCCACTATCCCCTGTGTTTCAGATCTACAACATGCTGGTGGAGACAGGTGAGCTGGACAACACCTACTTGGTCTACACGGCCGACCACGGCTACCACATCGGCCAGTTTGGCCTGGTGAAGGGCAAGTCCATGCCCTACGAGTTTGACATCAGGGTCCCGTTCTACGTGAGGGGCCCCAACGTGGAGGCTGGTTCACTGTGAGTGTCTCCTGGGTAGTGTTGGCAGAGGACCTGGGGGGTTGTCTGTGTCCAGCCTGGGCTGAGCCATCACTAGGACTAGAGGCTGTCAGGGATCACCCCCCCAAAAGGCCAGCACAAAGGGAAAGACCCCTGCCCAACCTCCACCAGCACTTCTCCTCGGGTTCCCACAGTGTGGCCATGAGAACAGAGATAGGCTGGTCTTCAAAGCAGCGCTTTGTTTGATCCACTGGCTTTTTGAAAGGCAGATCATGACTCTGAAGACTCACGTGGGCTGGCTGACCTGGCCTTTATGAGGGCTCAGGAGCATGGACGTAGCCAGCCACTGGCACTCCTGGGTTTTCAGACCAAGACTAAGGCCTTCCCGCCACCCTTTTGAGGAAACTTCAGGGACATCACTCTTTCTGTGTGACCTCATCAAACTAGTCCTGCCTTTGGCTCACACACTGGCTCCCACCTGCGATGGTAATAAGAATAGCTCAGGTCTCTAGGAGCTCTGGTGTGACCCTGTAGGATAAGTACTGAGCTGCTAACCGCAAGGTCAGCAGTTCTAACCCACCATTCGCTCCTTGACAACCCTTTTACAGGGTCACTGTGAGTGGGAATCAACTTAACAGCACTTCAACAACAAGTTTCTAAATCACTTCTTCTCCAGCCTGGTCTGAGCACCCTATAGATAGATACTGTTATTGTCCTGTTTTATAGTTAAGGAAACTAAGGTCACACAGCAAGGAAGGGAAGGAGCTGGGATTTGAAGCCACCACGCCACACTGCCTCTTAGGAACCTTGAGCTACCTCGGTACTAATACCCACAGAAGGCTGTGCAGGATGCCCTGGGTGGTGCAGATGGTTAACATGCTTGACTGGTAATCCAAAGGCTTGAAGTTCAAGTCTACCCAGAGGTACCTAGGAAGAAAGGCCTGGTGATCTGCATCTTAAAAAAAAAATCAGCCATCGCAACTCTAACAAGCACAGTTCTCCTCTAACAGACAAGGGTCACGAAGAGTCAGGGCCGATTCGGCAGCCACTGGCTGGATAGTGGAAGGTGCATCCAGTGGGACATTGTAGGTCGGCTTTGAAGTCTGTGGTCTGGTTCGTAGGACCTAAAACTATACCCCAAGAGAAAGAGATTTTTAATAATGTCAGGTTTGGGGACTGAAGATGCCTGGTACATATGTCAGCATGATGAATGCTTTGAGTTGTAAGCAGAAACAACCCTCAAACCAGATTAGGTGAATAAGATCAAAAGAATGCATGGATGGAAGTAACTGAAAAGTCCAAGGATATTCTGGCTTCAGGCCTGGCTGGATCTAGCAGTCGCATTATTATGACATCAGGAATCTCCCCTTTCCCATTTCACAGCCCCGTCCTCTCTCAATGGGCTTCCTTCTCAAGTATGTGTTTCTATGGTGGGAGGAGGAAAAAACCAACAGCTGCACCCTTTCAGCCCCCACCGAGGAAACAGTGTGAACAGCAGCTCTGAGGCTGACTCATCACTGGGGGGACACACACTAGTAAGGGGGACGTGGGGGGTTCTCACATGAACTGCCTGAGCGGGCTTTTACTTAGTGTGTCTGCCACAAGGCCTCCTGGGTAGTCACTGAACAGAAAACTAAAGTATTACATTGATCCTGGGCAGGACTGTGCCTGGCATGAGGAACAGCAAGGGGGCCAAGGTTTGCTCAGAGGTCCAGGTGGGATAGGCAGAGAGGGCATCTGGTAGAAGAGCCAGCCGGACAGAGGCAAGGGGAGAGGGAAGGCCGAGGCCCCCTCCAAGAACGATGAGGAGTGGGGGAAGGGAAGGGAGGGTGTGGAGCAGGAGTGGTTCTATTAGTGTCCCCTCAGGACCTCAGTCTCCCCTCCAGGTACCCCTCCCCCAAGTGCAGCCAGGAACTGAGCCCTGCCCCTTCCCTCCCCAGGAACCCCCATATTGTCCTCAACATCGACCTGGCACCCACCATCCTGGACATCGCAGGCCTGGACATCCCCACAGACATGGACGGGAAGTCTATCCTCAAGTTGCTGGACACAGAACGGCCGGCAAACCGGTGAGTGGGCACCGGCGGGGCTGCAGGGAGAAAAGGGAGCTCCCCTCTCTACAATCCCGTCTTCCCATCTGGAATGTGACCTCAGTGACCCACAGTAATAGGAACAAGATTAATACTAAGAGCTAACCCTGATGGGTCCCTAACAGTGTGCCCGCTAAGCTCTGCGTTCTCTGCAGGGCTATTTCATTGTGATCTTTAGTGACCCTGTGAGATGGGCATTACCATTATCAACTGCATTTGGATACGGAATCCCAGAGAGGTTAAATTAACTTGCTGGATGTCACATAGTCTAGATGTGACCCCGGGCATTCAGACTCTGGCCTACACTTTTAATGGCTGTGTTCTATGGCTTTAATGCCGGGTGGTGTCCTGCAAGCTGAAGATAAAAAAAATATAGACAGATGGGAAGGTGAGCCGAGTCTGGAAAGCAAGGGGCCGGTGGCCACTGTGTTAGCAGCGACATCTCGTGGCCATTTCTGGAACTGCTCACCAGACTCAGGTGCTGATACCAACCCCCAGGGGCACCTCCTCGGCTCCGGGGCTTCCTCTGTGTCTCCCAGGGGACACAGCTCTGATGGTGTCAGCTGTCCCCATCTGGCCACCCTATAAGGAACCGACTTCCTCTGGCCTGCTCCTACAGGCTTTGCGAGTTGCCAGAGTATTGGATGGACGTGTTTGGGAGTGGGGAGGGACAGAATGTAAGCGTCCTCTCTCAGCCTGAGTCCACATGCTGGGACACAGGAATGACAAAGTGGAAGGACCCAAGTCCTACTATGTAGGGTCCACGGAAAAGATCCCTCCAAACAAAGCAGTTAGCCTGAAATCAAGACATGCACCTCATCTGGCACTGAGCTGAAGACAGGCTGGGGGCTTTGTGGGGAGGGGGGTTGGCATCCTGAGTCCTCCGCTCATGACCTATGTGAGCCATTTGAACCTAGGAAATTTCTGTCCTCTGTGCCTTTAAGAGGAGTCTTTGGATTGTGCCATTGGTTAAGGTACTCAGCTGCTCACTTAAAGGTGGAAGGTGCCCTGAAAGAAAAACCTGGCAATGTTCGTCCAAACAGTCAGCTGCTCTGACACACGTGGGGGCGCCATGAATTGTAGTCACCTCAGTGGGAACTGGTTTTGGTTTATGCCAGTTATCTCCTTCTTTGTTCCTGGGGGGTCACATGAGTTGGGGACTGACTTGATGACAGTTAACAACAACGTGCCTTTAAGCCCAGCTCTGGGGAAGAGGCTGCTCCACTCTGGAGTTGTGAATGTGTCTGTGTGTTGAGAGCCTTCCAGGCCACCCCCCAGCTGCCACGGGGACTGTGCTGGTTGTGGACAGAGGTTGTCACTGTCCTGGGATGGGGCGGGGGGGACACCTGCAGGACCCCCATGTGGATCAGATTCTGCAGCTGGCTTTCTTCCAGGTTCCACCTGAAAAAGAAGATGAGGGTGTGGCGGGACTCCTTCCTGGTGGAGAGAGGGTAAGTGCCGACTGGAACTGCCCAGCCCAGGTGCCTCCCAGCCGGGCCTCAGCATCTGAGTCCAACGCTCTCACAACGCATGCCCATTAGCTGCTCCTATGGTCAACAAAGGAGTCCTATTGGCGAAGTGGTTCAGCACATCTGCTAACCAAAAGGTCGGCAGTTTGAACCCACCCATTGGCTCTTCAGGAGGAAGATGTGGCAGTCTGCTTCTATAAAGATTATCGCCAGGAACCCATGTGGTCAGTTTTGCTCAGTCACATGGGGTCACGGTGAGTCGTAATCGAATCAGTGGCAACAGCCTAAAGGTTGGCACTTCAGACCCACTCGTGATATCACAGATCTCTTTTCATAAAGATCACACCTGGGGCATGAGCTGGAGTCAAGGTGATGGCCACGGGTTTGGTGTCTTGATTTTACAGAGAAAGCACCATTCGAGGGAAACCTGAAAGGGCTAAGGAAGGGTGTCCACGCAGAAGGACCGGCCACTGTAAAGGTCCAGAGGGGGGACCTTCCTGGCTTGTGTGGGCTCCCAGAGGCCAGTGTGGCTTGAGGCCAAGAACTGGGGAGTGGAGGAGCCAGGAGGTGGGACTGGCTGAGTGAGGGGGCATCCGACCACACCCTGAGTAGGAGCAGTATAAGAGGGCACTATTACTGCCTCCCTCAGGCTGCATATGGAGAACAGTGTGGGCAGCAAGGGCAGCGGCAGGGAGAGCAGCCACAAAGCTCCTGGAATAGTCCGGTGGTGGACCGGTGGTGGGAAGTGGTCTGATTCTGGAAGCACCTTGAGGGAATGGAGGAGGGGAAAGAAAAGAGGAGAATACCACAGTTCTTTCACTTCTGAAAGAACAGGGTTGCCCTCGCTGCGGGAAAGGTCGCAGCGCAGCACGAGTCTGGGCAAAGCTCTCCAGACTTGAGGTGATGCGAGTGGTTAGCACGTTGGGCTCCTAACAGAAAGGTTGGAGTTTCCCAGCAATACCTCAGCCGTGAGAATGCTGTGGAGCACATTTCTGCTCTGGTACACACGGGGTCAACTCCACGCTATCTGGTGGCGGTGGCAGTGAGATCCAGTGGGCAGGTGGACATGCCATGTAGAAGTTAGGAGAGAGAGGCTGGTTTCGGTCACAGCAGACAGTGGGTGTTTAGCTGAGTGTGGAGGGCCAAGCATGGTGTGGGTTAGAGCCCCCACATCATCCCTAGGCCACAGAGAACTGGCCAGAGGCAGGATGGTGGTGAAACAGCTCTCAGCTGACCTCACCTCGGGATCCCAGCCCACCTCTCTACTCTCTACCTGCAGCAAGCTGCTCCACAAAAGGGACAGTGGTGACAAAGTGGACGCTCAGGAGGAGAACTTCCTACCCAAACACCAGCGCGTGAAGGGCCTTTGCCAGCGTGCCGAGTACCAGACGGCCTGCGAGCAGCTGGGACAGGTGAGGAACCGCTGAGCCACCCAGGGTGCCGAAGAGGAGGAGGGCGCAGGGACCTCTGAGGAGAGTTGCTGATGGAGGCAGGAGGACGAATGGGTACCAGCAGTCATAGCCTTATGGACCCCTTTGTAACAAAGAGCCAGCAAGTCTGTGGCCCAAAGCCCCCAGCAGGCCACTACCAGGATCAGAAAACCCTGTTTTCACGGTCTTTATGGTGCCCTCTGACTGGCCTCCCATTGTAGGAATGACAGGAAATTGCCTTTCTTAATAAGTAAATGTCCATTTTCAGAGTGAACTGATTTGAAGAGAAATATTAGGGATTCATGATGTGCGTAGTCTTCAGAGAGAACAAACACAGTGATGGGAGTTTGGGCGCCCCTGCACTGGGATTTGGAGGGTGTGGAAGGCTGAGGTGGACTCAGGGAAGAAGGGACACCCTAGGACCCCGTAAAGATACAGTGCCAAGCTCAGAGGCAAGGGCAGAACAGGTGAAAAGGGAATGTGGGGTCCCATTTGGTGCCCATTTCACTGATAAGAAAAAGCAAAGCCAGGAAACTTCATGTTCCATTCCTCAACCCATGGAGCGCAGGTATTCTAACACACATGGGGTCACATGAGTCGGAGTTTGGAATTCTTCTCCTCAGAGAGTGAAGGTGAGGTTTCTGAAGTGGATAGAGTTGGTAGCTGGAGTTCGAGTCTGTCCAGAGACCCATTGGAAGAAAGTTCTGGTGATCTGCTTCTGAAAGATGCCAGCCATTGGTAACCCTGTGGAGCAGGGTTGTACTCTGACACACACACACAGTGGACCAGTGAGCTGGTGGGAAGCATTGCCCAGTCAAGAGTGGGATGGATTTCAATGGCCCCGCCCCCAGTGCTTATTTGTAGCCCTTCCTGCTTCCCGAGGCCCCCACCGTGCTGCGGGGATGCTGACGGGAAGAAACCCACATGTGCTACAGGCGAAGAGTTGTGGAGGCCGTTTCCAGTTTAAGAATACGATAGGGCTTCAAAAAGCTTGAGGAAATATTCCATTAATTTTTCATTCCAGTTTTCCACATACTTTTTGAAGCCCCCTCGTATTGAAGGAGCATCCTGGGGGCAACCGTACCTGCGTGCAGCTGACATTCTGGGGAGAGGCCAGCCCGGGGTTGGTGAGGAGACTCGGGGGGTGCACATATAGTAGTTCTGAGCTAAAATGAAGTTGAGGATGGGGGTAGGGGATTTGTCACACTCCCCACCCCTCAGTTCTGTCCCTGACTGGGGAAGGGGAGGATGTATCAGGATCTTCCAGGGGATCACTCAATCCAAAGGAAGGGACCTAAGGTGGGGGCAGGGGCCGGGGGAGGGGGATGGAGTAAGTCCTGGCCAGCATATCCAGTCCCAGATGTCTGTCGCCTGGCTGGACAGGAGAACAGGAACGCGTTCGCTGCTCCATCCTCAGTGCCCACAGCCCACGCCTCTGCTGGAAGACTTGTCTGCATTGCCATTCCCCATCTGGTTCCAGTACTTCACGTAGGGCCCCCCCACCAACCTGGATCCTCACTCAGTCATCAAGCAGCAACCTGGGGATGTTTTCTGTACGGGGGCAGTGCTGACTGCATGTTAGAATCCCCCATTCTGTGTGCAGGAAGCCCAGGTTCAATTCCCAGCCAGTGCATCTTGTATGCAGACCCCTCCCTCCCCCCCCCCCCAGTGGAGGAGGATGGTGGCTAGCTAGTTAGGACCTCCACCACTCATCTGCCAGTCTGTCATACTGTGGTGGCTGGCGTGTGGCTGTGATTCTCGAAGCTACGCCACTGGTATTTTAAATAGCAGGGTCACCCACAGTGGACAGGTTTCAGCTGAGTTTCCAGACGGAGACACTAAGAAGAAGGAAAGACAGACTACTTCCGAATGTTTAGTCACTAAAAACCTTATGAATAGCAGCGGAACACTGTCAGCACCAGAATATTTAATATTGAGACATGATGAAGAGCACCAGAATATCGTCAGACATTGAGCCGGAAGATGAGCCCCTCACGCTGGAAGGCACTTAAAATACGACTGGAGAGGAGCTACTTCCTCAGAGTTGACCCGTGATGACACCAATGGAGTAAAGCCCTCGGGACATGGAGTACAACTCAAAACGAAGAGAAACAGCTGCAAACATCTATTAAAAATCAGAATATGGAATGTACGAAGCATGACTCTAGGAAAATTGGAAATTGTCAAAAATGAAATGGAATACATAAACATTGACATCCTAGGCATTAGTGAGCTGAAATGGACTGGTATTGGCCGTTTTGAATCTGACAATCACTTGGTTTACTGTGCCAGGAATGACAAATTGAGGAGGGATGGCATTGCATTCTTCATCAAAAAGAATATATCAAAATGTCTTAAAAGTACAATGTTGTCTAATAGGATAATACCCATACACCTACAAGGAAGACCAGTTAATACCACTATTATTCAAATGTATGCACCAACCCCTAAAGCCAGTGATGATGAAAGTGGAGAATTCTACCAACTTCTTCAGTCTGAAATTGATCAAGCATGCAATCAAGACATTTTGATAATTACTGGAGATTGGAATACAAAGGTTAGAAACAAAGTGTTAGTAGAAAATATGGCCTTGGTGATATAAACAGTGCTGGAGATCGCATGATAGAGTTTTGCAAGGCCAATGACTTTTTCATTGTGAATACCTTTTTTAAACAACATAAAAGACTATACACATGGACCTCAGCAGATACAATACATAAAAATCAAACAGACTACATCTGTGGAAGGAGACAGTGAAAAAGCTCCATATCATCAACCAAAATAAAGTCAAGGGCCAACTATGGAACAGACCATGAATTGCTTATATGAAAATTCAAGCTGAAGCTGAAGAAAAGTAAAACAAGTCCATGAAAGCCAAAATATGACCTCAAATATATCTCACCTGAATATAGAGCTCACATGAAAAACAGATTTCATGCATTAGACGCTAAAGATGGAAGACCAGAGGAGTTATGGGATGACATCAAGAACATCATACAGGAAAAAAGCAAAAGATAATTGAGAAGACAAGAAAGAAGGAAAAGACCAAAATGGATGTCAGAAGAGACACGGAAACTTGCTCTCCAGCATAGAGAGGCTAACGCAAATGGAAGAAATGAGGAGGTACAGAGAGCTGACCAGAAAATGTCAAAGGTCAGCTCAAGAAGACAGAATCAAATATTATAACAAAATGTGTAAAGACCTGGAGTTAGAAAACCAAAAGGGAAGAAACACGCTCAGCATTTCTCAAGCTGAGGGAACTGAAGAAAAAATTCAAAACTCAACTGTCATTATTGAAGGATTCTATGCGCAAAATATTAAGTGACACAGAAAGGCATCAAAAGAAGATGGAAGGACCACGTAGACTCATTGTACTAAAAGGAAATGGTTGATGTTCAACCACAACCATTTCAAGAGGTAGTATATAATAAGGAGTCAATGATCCTGAAGGAAGAAGTCCAAGGTGCACTGAAGAAATTGGCAAAGAACAAGGCACCAGGAATTCATGGACTACAAGTGGAAATATTTCAACAAACTGATGTGGCACTGGAGGCACTCACTCGTCTATGCCAAGAAATTTGGAGGAAAACTACCTGGTCAACTGACTGGAAGAGATCCGTATTTATGTCCATTCCAAAGAGAGGTGACCCAATGGAATGCAGAAATCATCAGATAATATCTTTGATATCCCATGTGAGTAAAGTTGTACTATTACTAAAGGTAATACAGCTGCAAGTATACATTGACTGAGAACTTCCAGAGTTTCAAACCAGTTTCAGAAGAGGATATAGAATGAGGGATATCATTGCTGACATCAGATGGATCTGGGCTGAAAGCAGAGACTACCAGAAAGATGTTTACCTGTGCTTTATTGATTACACAGTTCTTCGAATGTGTGGATCATGACAAGCTATGGACAACATTGTCAAGTATGAGTATTACAGAACGCTTAATTGTGCTCATGAGGAAGCTGTACATAGGCCAAGAGGCAGTTGTTCGAA